GTTGGGGGTGGTGGTGGTGGGGGTGAGAAGTGGGGGGTGGGTGGTGGGGGGGGGGGGGGAAGAAGTGTGCTCCTCTGCTCGTGACACGCTAATTTGCCCTCAAGCATGTTCCTGCACGCTATTCTCTCCGCCTCTGCATGCTATTACACTCATTTCTAGTGGCGCTGTTGCACTCTCATGCTGCTGTTGCGTGCTGTAGTGTGTTGCACGCTCGTGCGGTAGTGTGCTAGCGTGTGTGTTGTGCACTCAGGCTGGTGTGTGCCGGTGTACAATGAAGAGACCTGAGACCTGCGTGAGTGTTAAAATGTCCATTTTTATGTTGCAAACTCGCTTCTGTTGTCTTAAAAGGTAGTTACATGTTCTCTTGAGTGAGACTTAAGGTTCGTAACAGAGTGAATGAGTGAGTGAGTGAGTGAGTGAGTGAGTGAGTGAGTGAGTGAGTGAAGAAAGTGATTGTCACGTTGCACTGCGAGAAAGCAGATTGAAGGAGGGATACAAATGGAATTATTGTTGATGGTTGGTAAGGTGGAAGCGTATGGTATGGTTGAGTGGTTACCTGGAGAGTATTGTGGGAGGTTGAGGGGGGGGGGGGGAAAGAGTTGCTTGGAGTCAGTGTCCTCACATTGGTGGTTCATCAGGGAACCTTTCCGTGTGTGTGTGTGTGTGTGTGTGTGTGTGTACCCATCCAGTTGTGCTTGCAAGAGTTGAGCTCTGGCTCTTTGGTCCCGCCTCTCAACTGTCAATCAACTGGTGTACAGGTTCCTGAGCCTACTGGGCTCTATCATATCTACATTTGAAACTGTGTATGGAGTCAGCCTCCACCACATCACTGCCTAATGCATTCCATCCGTGAACTACTCTGACACTGAAAAAGTTCTTTCTAACGTCTCTGTGGCTCATTTGGGTACTCAGTTTCCACTTGTGTTCCCCTTGTGCATGTACCCTCTGTACTAAACAATGTCTTTATCTACCCTGTTAATTTCCCTTAGAATTTTGTATGTGGTAATCATGTTTCCCTGAACTCTTCTGTCTTCCAGCGATGTGAGGTACAATTCAAGCAGCCTTTCCTCCCAACTCATACCTCTTAGTTCTGGAACCAATCTAGTGGCATACCTTTGAACGTTTTCCAGCTTCGTCTTATGACACGGTATGGACTCCATGCTGGGGATGCATACTACAGGATTGGTCTTACATATGTGGTTACCAGGTTCTAAATTATTCCTTACACAAATTTCTAAAGGCAGTTCTGATGTTAGCCAGCCTCGCATACGCCGCTGATGATATCCTTTTGATGTGGACTTCAGGAAACAGGTTTTGTGTGATATCAACTGGTTCGTCTTTCTCTCTGTCCGTTTCGTGGAGAACTTCGTCTCCCATTCAGTACCCCATGTCTGGCTTCCTGTTCCGTACACCTAGTGTCATTACTTTACATTTACTTGAGTTGAACTTTAGTAGCCATATGTTGGATCATTCATTCAACTTGTCTGGGTCATCTCGTAGCCTTTTCTGTCTTCCTCTATCTTTATCCTTCTCATAATTTTTGCATTACCAGCAAACATTGATAGGAACGAGCCTATTCCCTCTGGAAGAGTGGAGATTCCCTCATTTACATATATCAGAAACAGGTTAGGTCTGAGGACTGAACCCTGCGGGACTCCAATAGTGACGTCTCGCCACACTGAGACCTCACCCCCCTCAAAGTGACTCGCTGTCTTCCGTTGCTTGGGTACTTATTCATTGGATAAGTATCCAATGAATAAGTACCTATTCCTTATCCAGTGGAGTACCTTCCCTTTTATTTCTGCCTGCATCTCCAGCTTTTTGGCAATCCAAAAATATGCAGTTTGCCCACCCTTCTCTTTGTTGCTTAATTATTTTGTCGCCTGGTCATAGAATTCTATTAATCATGTGAGGCAAAATTTACCATCCCTGAACCCATGCTGGTGGTGTATTGCAAAATTCTTTTTCTACAGATGTTCTGCTAGTTTTTTTTTCACAGAATCTTCTCCATTACCTTGCATGATATGGAAATTGGGGACACAGGACTGTCGTTCAGTGCCCCCTGTCTGTCTCCCTTGTATATTGGGGCTACATTAACCGTCTTCCAAATTCTTGCCAGTTCTCCTGTTTCCAGTGACTTCTTATATGCCATTGAGAGTGGTAGGCACAGTGATCCTGTTCCTTCTATTAGTATCCATGTTGAGTTTTCATCTGGTCCTACACCAGTTACAACATCCAACTCAAGCAAATGTTTCCTTACCACCCCCCACTGTTAATCTCAAACTCCTCCAGTGGTGCCTGGTTAGATATTCCTTCTCTTAGCCCAGGAACTTCTCCTTGCTCTACTGTGAAGACCTCTTGGAATTTCTTATCAAGTTCTTTGCATACTTGTCATTTACAGTCAATCTGTGTGTCCCTATCCTCATCTTCGTTACCTGTTCATGCACTGTTGGTTTTTCTTCTAATGTGGCTGTGCAGCAATTTGGTTTGGGTCTTTACCCTATTTGCTATGTAATTTTTGTACTGTCTTTCTGCCTCTCTTCTCACCCTGAGCAACTCACTCCTGGACTTTTGGTATCTTTCTCTGATCTCTGGTGTCATGTTATTCTGTAGTTTCTCCACACTCTTGTACTTAGTTGCTTTGCCAGCTTACATCCCCTGATTAAACCATGGGTTCTTCATTTGCATTTATTTTTTCCCCTTTTGGACTGGGACAAACTTGTCTGCTGTCTGCTTACACTTCTGGGTGATGTAGCCCATCATATTTTGAGCAGACTTTCCTCTGAGCTCTGTCTCCCATGGTATATTTTTTAGGAATGTTCTTATCTCATAGTTTCCCTTTCGGTATGCCTGCCTTTTGTTTCCTGGTCCCTTCCTTCAGTACTCAAGCCTCAGCACACTGTGATCGATCATTCCCACGGGGGCGTCGAAGTTGATTTTCCAACTTCGAAGTTGTCTGAAGGTAAATTCACACCAAAATGAATACCAGGTCAAATCTAGCTGATTCATGTGTCGCCTCTCATTCTTTTGGGTCCCCTGACATGCTGGCTTAAAACGTTTCTTGTTGCCACATCCAGTTGTTTAGCTCTCCATGTTTCTGTACCCCTATATGGTTTTTTGTTCTTCCAGTCTATCTTTCAGTGGTTGAAGTCTCCCATGATAATCAGTGGGGGAGCAGCGAGAGCATGGAATGGAGGAGCAGAGGGGGCATGGGATTTGGGGGGGGGGGTCATTTAGGAAAGGAGATGGGGAATGAAGGGAAGCCTGGAGTGGGGGAATGGGGAAGGGTATGGGGTGGGTGGAACAGGAAAGGGCATGGGGTGCAAGGAACAGGGGAAGAGCATGGGATGGGGGAACAGGGGGACTATGGTTTGGATAGGGTCTTTAGGGGTTAGAGAGACATAGAAGATGATTGGGGAAAAAAGTTGTGTGATGTGATGGTGGGTGGATTCTGTTATTTTCCTCTTTGAGGATGCTGGCCTGCTGGTGGAGTGTTTCCCACTCCCACTGTGAGGTTACTGAAGATACTGAGCCTGTGGCTTCCCATTCCTTTGACTCTCTTCTTGCTTCTGCTATCCTCTGTCTTCCCTCATCATGTCCCTTTGCAGAACAATATCCTTGTATTCCTTTACCCGAAGAAGATTGCTCTTCCTGGATGGGATTGCCTCTTTCGTTGCCGCACTCGTGAACACTATCTTTATCAGTCGCTTCCATTCCCTCTTGAAGCTACCTAGCCTGAAAACTTTTACCTACATTCCCTTAAAAGGTGTCCACTGTGGTGGCACATCACTCGGGCAGGAACCTGAAGAAAGCTGAAGGTTATTAAGCCTTGTTGGTGGTTGTATTATTATTATTATTTTTGTTATGGTGTAAATAATGTCATTGCGTTTGAAAACAGGTCATTGTTAAGGGGAACTCGCATGAAATATTTTAGGTTGTAACTAGGGCAAGTGGCCCCAATGTCAGTGGCAGCCGTGTTCCCAGCAGTGGGTGTGAAATAAAGTTTACAAGCGGTGCCGTATGTGGGGCGTGGCACTATTTGGGAGTGACTGCAGTTAGGTTTGGAGTGTGGGTTAGGGATGAATGAAAGAGTGGGTTAACGTGAGAAGTGGGCGTGTGGGCGTGGCTGAGCGAGGCCTACTGTACCACCCACAGATGAAGCAGCAGCCTATGAGCCCCACCCACTACCAGCAGCCGCCGACGCCAGACCATCCGCCGCCTTCCGCCCGTCAGGCGCAGATCTCCATCCACGCCAAGATGCTGTGCGTCTCCCGCCCGCCCGTGAGTACTCTGCCTACACACACACACACACACACACACACACACACACACACACACACACACACTCGTGCACCAGCTTGTTGTTATGTTGTACCCGCGTAGGGTACCGCGCAGGTGTAGCATCATGGTATACCACATAACTATGCCATCGTGGTATAGTCTGCAAGTGTATAGAGTGTGTAGGGTGGTGCAAGTGGTGGCAGTGGTGGGGAGAGTGCCAGCCTTCACCACACGCCCCCACACACAGGGACTCACCGCCAGCTCGTCTTCATCTTCGCCAGGTCCCTGTACTCTCCTCAACATGGTCGTGGTCGAAGCTCCGGCTTGGGACGTCTAGCATTCTAATCTAACCCAAGGGAACCTAACTGAACCTAATCTAAGCCTAACTGAACCTAATCTAAGCCTAACTGAACTTAATCTAAGCCTAATTGGACCTAATCTAAGCCTAACTGAACCTAATCTAAGCCTAACTGAACCTAATCTAAGCCTAACTGAACTTAATCTAAGCCTAACTGAACTTAATCTAAGCCTAACTGAACTTAATCTAAGCCTAACCTCAGCTAAGCCTAAGGATGCCACTGCATAAAACGTTTTAATTACTTATTTTTTTTCCTCAAGATAATTAGACATTCAAAATGACTTACGTTGACTTACAAGCGTAGTGATAACTCATAAGTAGTACATACAGGTATATAAGTACTGATTATGTAGTAATTAGCACAATGGTTTGCTAACTAGTGTAGTTTGCTAAGGTGTTACACAACAAGTGTCTTGTATTGCTGTAATTCCTTTGGGGGGGGGGGAAGTCCTGGGCAGAGGCTGGTATCAAGGTCCCCTCTCCCCCCCCCCCCCCCCCCCCCCCAAACACTTGCCTAACTACCGAGGTACTGATTTGCTGATATATAGGTGAGGAGAGGCATCGGGGGAAAGAAACTGCCCATTTGTTTCTGCCTCGACCGGGAAATGGAACCAGGGGCTCTTCGGACTACAACTTCCGAACGCTGTCCGCTCGGCCACGAGGACTGTGTGTTCGTGTGTGGTGTGAGTCAAAGAGAGAGCGGGAAGGTTACCCAAGACTTTGCTGCTGTATATTTGACCTGGTGGTGAGACACGCTGTCAAGGAGACGAAGATGGAACAGCATTATTAGCCTCCACACTACTGCCACACCGCGTCACGACTGACCTCGCTGGCTGATTGACTGTAGCGGCGGCAGCAGAAAGGGGGACGAGCACTCGGGCTTCGATCTGGGTTTATAAGAACAAAGGCAACTGCAGAAGGCCTATTGGCCCATACGAGGCAGCTCCTATTTATAACCACCCAATCCCACTCATATACTTGTCCAACCCGCGCTTGAAACAATCGAGTATGGTATAACCTCGACCCAATCATTTGGACTGGTCGGTAGAGCGACGTACGCGACTTCGCTTTTTGCAAGAACGTAAGAAAGTGCCTCTGTTTTATTGACCCTAAACGTTCACTCCCTGCCCCCCCCCCCCATCCCCCAAGCACCTATCGTTGCTGATGCATCGAAAACGTCGATATTACGATGCTTTAATTTTTGGCTAATACGTCACATATTAACGTATTGGGTCGATAACGTAAATAATGTGTTAGGTGAGAGAACTCAGGATTGGTCTGGCTGTTATTGTTGTTATAGATTCAGCTACTCGGAACACAAAGTTCCAAGTAGCACGGGCTATGGTGAGCCCGTCTTCATTTTTTTTCTTGGCCCTTGCGTGCAACGGTGGTTATGTAATGTTGTGGGTGGATAGGAGGGGGGGAGAGGTGGGGGTGTGGGGTTGACCTAGTGGGGGATGTGTGGGGGGGGGGAGGGGATTATGACAGCTGTGTCGATGAGGAGTGAGAGGGGGGAGGGAGGGAATGAGACACCCCGCCCCTCTCCGCCTCCTTCCCTCACTGCGCCTCGACCACACTTAACTGCGCATCTTACCACGAGTCTTCTTAGTCTTACTAAGTCTTCTTCTCCTTCTTCTAATTCAGTCTTTGTCTTATCCTCTTTCTTTGTCTTTTGTCTTCTTCTTCCCCTCATCCTCTTGTCTTCCACCCCATGCCCATTCTTGTCTTGCCCCTCTTCTTAATTTTCTCTTTACATATTAACATCTCCCCCCCCCCAGTTTCCCCCTTTTTTGGGGGGTCTTATCCTTTTACTCATCAACAACAACTTGTCCTCTTGGCCCCATCTTCCTATTGTCTTGACTTATCCCCTTTTCGCAAGAATTTTAAAAGGAGGGTTTTCCTGAAACTTTGTTCTTGTATGTTGTGGTGTTGGGTAGAGTAGCCGGTGCTGGTTCGAGGGATGTGACAGGGCTAAAGGATATGTCATGGGTGTGATGCAGCTGTATTCTCGCTACATCACAACAACACAAGAATTAAGGAAAAGGGAAAGAATTATCAAGGGAAAGGGCCAAGCCATTACGACTATATAGCACTGGGAAGGGGTCAGGATAAGGATTTGGGATGGGACGGAGGGAAGGGAATGGTGCTCAACCACTTGTGGACGGTCGGGGATTGAACGCCGACCTGCATGAAGCGAGACCGTCGCTCTACCGTCCAGCCCAAGTGGTTGGGCGAATTAAGGAAGAGAATTAAAGAAATTGCAGAAGGCCCATTGGCCGATACGTGGTAGTTGAACAAATCCACAAGGGCAGTGATCAGGGTTCGAACCCCGAACGTCACGGCGGTTGTGGATTTGTTCATTTGATGCATCACACTATTGTGATTTCTGTGTGTAATGAAGTAAGGGCGAAGAGGGAGAACCGCCTGTTGACAGAGCTCGGGTGCATGGGGGAGTTGTGTAAAACCCTGGTTTGTGTCTCGGAGAGGCTACAGGACCCGTGGTAGGTCAGGATGATTTCCCGGTTGCAATTCTTTTACCATGTCGTAGCTCAGTCGATTAAGGCAGCGTCTGGGATCCTCTCGGACGTAGGTTCGAACCCTGGTCACGGCCCTTGTGGATTTGTTCACTAGATGCATTATGCTATTGTGATTTCTGTGTGTAGTGTAGTGTGATATGTGCTAGTTCTTTTTTATATTTACCAAACTCAGTCGTGTGTGTGTCTATCCTACGCTTGAAACAATCAGGTGATCCCACGTTTACTATGTTAATCGGTAATCTGTTCCACATGTCAACAACCCTGTTTCCAAACCAGTATTTACCCAGGTCTATCCTAAATCTAAACTTATCCAATTTATATACATTGTATCGTGTTGTATTTGGTTTTGATATATTGAAATACCATATTAATATCCCCCGTTGTTACGTTCATTTATACACTTTTACACTACTTACTTCATCCCTAACTCTTTGCCTTTCTTGAAAACGTAAGTTACACATTTTCAATCTCTTCATATGGAAGGTTTCTAATTTGTGGCGTTTTTTTTTCGGGCTCACCATAGCCTGTGCTGCTTGGAATTTGTTGTTCCAAGTAGCGAATCATTAACAGCAACATTGTGGCGCTTGTCATCCTTCGCTGAACGCGTCCAAGTGAATTTGTCCTGGTTGATACCTGGTTGATGGGGTTCTGGGAGTTCTTCTACTCCCCAAGCCCGGCCCGAGGCCAGGCTTGACTTGTGAGAGTTTGGTCCACCAGGCTGTTGCTTGGAGCGGCCCGCAGGCCCACATACCCACCACAGCCCGGTTGGTCCGGCACTCCTTGGAGGAATAAATCTAGTTTCCTCTTGAAGATGTCCACGGTTGTTCCGGCAATATTTCTTATGCTTGCTGGGAGGACGTTGAACAACCGCGGACCTCTGATGTTTATACAGTGTTCTCTGATTGTGCCTATGGCGCACCTGCTCTTCACTGGTTCTATTCTACATTTTCTACCATATCTTTCACTCCAGTACGTTGTTATTTTATTTTACTCTACAGTCCACTCTAGAGTATGTCAACCAAACATCAGTTTTCGCAATCAGACCCCAATTTTAGTACCACCCAGCTGATATCCATAACCCTTTATGATATCAGGGTTATGATACACTGATATCATAACCCTCCTAAGTCTATACAGTAATGATAACTTAGCCTCAGAACCTTGCATTTGTCAGCATTAAACTGCATTTGCCAATCTTTCGAACATTTCAAAGACCTCTGGTATCAACCAGGTATCTGTAAGATAGTTTTGAATCATTTTGAGTCTTCCGAGTTTCACGCCAAATTTTCGTAACTTTTGCACATTTACAAATATAGTCTATTTACGATTTACACAATCCTGAATGTAAATCGTTTACATACGTGGCAAATCAGAGAGGTCCCAGGACAGGGCCTTGAGGCATTCCACTTAATACCAGTTTCCTACTCTGACTTAACTCCACTTATACTAACTCTTTGGTGACTAAATTACATTCCAGAAGATGAACAGACGACGACGTTTCGGTCCGTTCTGGACCATTATGAAGTCGATTAAGAAGACTCTAAATGGTCCAGGACGGACCGAAACGTCGTTCTTATCATCTTCTGGTGGTCATCATATCTTCAGCCCCGTTATTGTGATTCATCGTCGGCACACTAACTCTTTGTTTGGAGTAATGTAACCGTGTTCTGAAGATAGCATTATCTTAATCGCATTATGATTATCTTGTCCCATTTAAGATAGCATTCTAGATAGCGTGAGCCTCTGCCTTATTAAGTCAGTGTCTTGGTGTGGGTGTTTTGGGCGTTGTGGGTTGGTAGAAACATAGGTTCGAGCCTTCCACACGGCACCACCAGGTTTTGTGCCGCACAGTATGAAAAGCTTTGCTGAGAGTCGAGCTCTTTCCACTGTCAACTGCCTCAAACATGCGGGAATAGAAGGCAAATTGATCAAACATGAGCGGCTCTTAGGAAAAAATAATTTTGTGGGTCATATATATTTTTCAAGGTGTAGACGAGTGGCTTTTGTGATTGACGATAGACGTTAAGTTCAACGCAAATGATCTCCCTTCACTTGGGTTGGACGGTAGAGCGACGGTTTCGCTTCATGCAGGTCGGCGTTCAATC